AGATCAAACTGGATTAAAACGGCGTCGTTTGGACACCCTGGGTATCAGGTTGGACTGGACCGGACAGGCCTGGTTTTGTGCATTGTTTGTTTGGGCCAATTTTAATAAATTGGCCCAATCCGGAGGAAGAAGGGATCTTTTTTTTATTATTATTTTTATTTCTTTTTCTTATTTATTTTAAAAACAAAACTAAGCAAAAATCAAATTAAAATTAAATACACACTCAATACAATTATTTGCACACACACTAAAAATATTTCAAAACAGGTAAAATCAAACAAAACAAAAATCACGGACAAAGATGCCTGTTTATGCTTTTCTATTTAACAACCATGTTACGGTTCAGATTATGCATGACACGTACATTTTTTTTTGTATTTTGTTTTAATAAAGTAAAAATGGGTCAAGGTCATGATTAACGAAGTGCCATAAAAAATCCAAAAATTGTACAACAGGATCAATTGTCGTTATTTTTTATTTCTTTTGGAGCGATTGTCCCGTGAAGCAAAAATCACGTGCTCACACCCGCCGTGACCCTTCGGTTTGGGTCGTGACATATATACACCACCGTGAAAATAGCACGAAGTCCGATCGCGACCTGATCGGCTAGGTCATCTTATTTAAAGACATTAACTACAATAACAATTTCAATCATTTAGGACCATTACTCTTTCTTCTTACTCTAGATCGTGTGGTAGAGCTCAGTTGTAAGAATTTAGACTCCTAAATTCTATTTTATTCGTAATACAAACCAAAACGGGATTATTTATATTTATTCAGAGTCGCCACTTGGGATAATTTATGGTGTCCCAAGTCACCGGTTTAAAATCCCGAATCGAGGAAGTTGACTCTTGTTTACGGTCTGCGAATACAGAAATCCGAGTAAGAAATTCTGTTAACCCGGGAGAACGTGTTAGACATTTCCGGGTTTCGTGGTTCGAGCACGGTCGCTTTACTATTAGTACTTGGCCTAATTATCCGATTAATTACATATTTTAAACCTATTGTGCTTTTTTAACTTTCAACCGCTTTTAATTATTTATGGAATTTGTTTGAACAAGGCGTGATTGTCGCGCATCCATTTGTTTATGTACACATTGCGAAGTGCGTCACGGGAATCGTACTCACGATCTACAACACGCTTATTTTATTTTTTGTTCGAAGTTATGGTCGAGTCACATGAAACGCACACTTGAATAGGATATTACGTATCGTGACCATATCACGAGAACTGTACTCATAGTCAAAATGATTTATTTAATTAACGCGCTTCAAGCAAGCAACAATGTTCAAGTTAATTATTTTCCAAAGCCATTCTCAAGTCAGCACCTACACAGCTGTTAACGTGTGATATGCTTCCATTTATTACAATTGTCTCCACATCTGAACTTCATCTGTTCGAAAATAAAAGATCTTAAATTAGAAATATGATTGAAAATCAAAGCAGGAGTACAAGGCATGTGAAAAACAGAGATGGAATCCTAGCCATTTTTTTTTTGGTATTCGCATATCCACCCATTTTCTTCTTTCCTTTCCTTTTCACTGGATCTCCCCCCGATCTTTTGTACTCATTTCAATATTTAGAGCAATTCATATCCCCCTGTATCTCTATCTCCCCATACATTCTCGCCTACCACACACATCCACTCTGTACTCTACTCTTACATTTTTCTGTCTCCTTCTATCTTTTTTCGGCAATGTCAATTTCAGGTTCATGTCTTCTAATAATTGAATTTCCCTTTGAGCACGTGAATGTGTGTGGGGGATATTTGTAGAGTTAGAGAATTGGAGCTGCTAGTTAATCTAAGCATGAAGATCTATTTTTGAAATTCAGAATTACACCACCAATTTGAGATTAGTCTAACAACCTCACAACTAGACGAGTTTCAGTCAAACGCGCCAAACAGATGGAAAATCAATAAAATTCACAAGAAAATTGCATCACAGACTAGTATATAAACTAACTCGCACCATCTTCCGTTAATAAAATAAGAAGAGTAAGAGATGAACCTGAATGCGCAGAACTTTGGATTAATGCTGAAAGTGAATACAAGCACAAGAAACATAAGAACACACTTGAGAGGAAGAAAACAGCTGCTGCAATTTGAGCTTCAACAGGAGCAAACACAGGAAATGGACACCTCAAACGGCGACTTCCAACCGTGACAAACTGGAATCAATTAAACTCCATAATTAAGAATCAAAATCGAAGTTGGAAAGAGAGATTAGAAATATTTTTTGTGTTATTTTTCTTTTCTAAGAACTCAAAATCAAAAGAAGAAAAAAAAATCTTCAAAATCTTGTTCTATTTTCCTCTCTACTGTTTCGTTTCCTCTTTACTGCATATTACTATTTTTTGCCATTTTTCTTTTGTTCTCTCTTTGGGGTGTGTGTGTTGTCCAGAGAAAGAGATGGATGAATCTCTGGGGAAAGGCAGGCGCTGCTCAAGGGTCTTTTTCTTGGGGTAATCGGCGCTGGAATTTTGGGAATTAGGTTCTAGCTTTTTTTTTAGCTGCTGATGCTTGCCTTTTGTGTTGAAGTCTTGAAGATGGGGAAAAGGGGTCACGGCTGGGGTATCCTTTGTTTGAAGACGGGGAAAAGTGTTTTCCAGGTTAAAGGTGGGCCAAAGACTAAAAATGGACTATAAAATTCATAAAAATGGCATAAACCAATCTAAAACTAATTATTTTTTCTTAAAATTATATACAATTTATAACATGAAAATATCAGACTAATCTTAATTAATTAAAATAGACAGTATTATATTGTGAGACTATTTTGGTATTCTTCAAGATTATATAAAAAATAAAAATTCTAGTAAAATAGTATGACTACAAAACATTAATAAAACTATTTTTGTAATTTTTATTTTTTGTGATAAAATAAAGTAAAAACTTTAAAACTAGTTGAAATAACTATATTAGACCTAAACAAAATATTTAAATGCTAAAATATGTAAAATCTTGGGGAGGGTAAAAAATCACATGTCTACATGGTGCACGACACACCCATAAACAAAACTCTACTAGACACGGCTTGTAGACTCCCTATGACAGAACAGCTCTGATACCACTTTTGTCACGATCCAAACTGATGGGCTGCGACAGGCATACAGTACCTTACTCAATCGAGTACCAATATAACGTATCTTTTCATGTCATACAATCATAAATAACTGAACCAGACAGGCTGCCGTGAAATAAGTATAATACAACAGGTAATACCAACTTATATATATAAAACATATGGGCCTCTAAGACCAAAATGACCACTTGAACACTGAACATAGGCTGACAAGGACATACAATCTTTTACGTACATGGCATTTGTCTACAAGCCTCTATGAATAAATAATTTTCATAAAGGTTGGGACAGAGTCCCGTCATACCAAACAATACACATCTAATTCATACTTACCAAACAAGCAACTCCGAAACAAATGGAGCGCACCAACATCTCCCGCTGAGCTGATAGCCTACTTGGAGGGCTCTCGACCTGTCTATCGGGACCTGCGGGCATGAAACGCAGCGTCCCCAAGCAAAAATGGATGTCAGTACGAATAATGTACTGAGTATGTAAGGCATATAAATAAGTACATAACAGACATAGAGGAAATATATAGTAAATGACTCCACCTGAAAGTCTGAATAACTTTGTAAATCATGAAATAATTATAGTATCATGTATATGCGTATGAATGTCATGTCGTGCATAGGTACATGTTCCATAATATCATCAGCTTCTGAGGGCATCCCATCATATCATCTTGGCAACTGTGGGCAAAATGATCAACGTATACCAGCTGATCAGGTGGTGGTGTGTATATAACGTCATAGCCTTTTCCCATATCCCATATAGATATATTTACATATATACGCGTATATAATGTCATCTGGTCATGGGTCAATGCACATGTATAAATTGGTGAAATATATAAAAAATATGTAATAATCTCAATATTCCTTCCGGATAAACTTTTTCAACTGCATATTATTCTGAGACCCATGAACAGAAGATAATAATAATTCTCATGGGGAATCAATAATATAGATACCCCTAATATTTCTCTGAGTAGAATAATTTATGGAAATTGTGCATTTGCTCGTTTCTTTTGTATAATTTGGACTATGCCAAAAGAAAGAAGGGATAGCCTTAACATACCTCGGGGTAGGAAAAACACCGTAAAATACTCTTAGAGAAGATTGCACCGCACTCCTTTAGAACCGCAAAATCTTACGTTGCTAAGATTCTAACAAATTCGCGTTGGAATTGCGTTGTTGCAAGATTTTGTTGGAACCTTTTCTTCTCGGATGCTTGGCGTTCTGCTATTGTTATTGAGAATGCAATGAGGAGGCAAGACTTGGTTTTGGTTGTTCTCTAAAGTTTTATTCATCTCTTAAAGAGATGTAATTAAAGAGACCAATCTTGATATCTTGGTACATATCTTTAGTCATTTAAGAATTATACACGTAGATACCACTGATCCTATATGACTAATTAGTCATATGCTGTCACGACCCTAACCCCGAATAAGGTCGTGATGGCGCCTCTCGTGAAGACAAGACCAGCCAGACCAAAATAGAACACCTCTTTTAAATAGTTAAATACCATAAACAGTTCTAAAACATGATATAATAACCATAATTTGCGGAATTTACGATAACAACAGTAGAAACCATCTCGACATATCCCAAACCGGGGTGTCACAAGTCATGAACAACTAAGGATCCTGATACGAGTCTACTAGATATAATATCTGGTACAACTGTTTGAAGAATATAAAAGTTATAAGATAAGGGTGTCACAGGGGCTGCAGACGCCAACAACTACCTCGTAGTCTCCGAAAACACTGCCTGGACTGGGAGGATCAGCTCTCAAGAACGGACTCTCCGATGCTTGAATCTGCACCCACGGTGCAGGGAGTAGTGTGAGTACTCCGACCCAGTGAGTAATAATCATAAATAATGGCTGAAAGAAAGAAAACACGTAAAGGCACAAAGCAGTTCTATATCAAGCAGTAAAATCACTTAAAGCAGTAAATCAGTGAAGAAGTCAAATGGAATCCCTTTAAACCAAGTAAAAGGGGTAATTTAACAGGTAATTAACAAGTAGAAATCCGACCCTCGGGCACAGTAACAATCGCTCAGAATAGTATCAGCCCCTCGGGCTCACTCTCAGATCATGATGGGTACCCGCACTCACTGTGGGGCTGCAGACTCTAGAGGGGCCCCTTACGGCCCAAGCGCTGTATCAATCCACCTCGTGGCATCATCTCTCGGCACTCGGCCTCACATCTCTCGGCACTCGGCCTCACATCACTCGGCACTCGGCCTCACATCACTCAAGCCACCTCG